CTTTCTGGAGTCAAAATACAGCACTCACTCTTCTTCTATAAGGAAGAATTAATGCAAAACAGTCTGATGCCCTAGCATGTTTTATTGAAATATATATATATATATCCCTGAACATGCTGTCAACATAAAGAAATACATATTTATTTTGTGTACTCTTTATATATATATAAGTGACAGATCTTTTCCACTGCCATAATTTTCAACTGTATCCCATTTGATTTACCTATATTGCATTTTTATAAATAAGCTTCTAGCCTCTTATTAATTTTATCCAACAGTAATATAAGAAGTGCTCATTTTTTCCAGTGAAATTTTCTTTCTTTCCTCCTTGCTAAATTATCAGGATTCCTCCTTTACTGCCTGTATTCTGCCATGTTTCCAACCTTTTTTCAGGAAAATATACGGGCTGAAAACAGCTTACATTAAACCCAAATGTGCTGCTTCATGCCATCTAACTACATGTCATAGTAATGAGTTCATTTTCAAAATGTCAACCTCTACATAGATAATACATTCATAGGCAAATTGCTTCCATGGAAGTAAAAGCAGAGATAGTTATGCACACAGATTAGCAGGATCAAGATGGTTTGCTTTCAATCAGGCCTCAAGATTTTGAAGGATGCTGCCATCATTGATAGGTTTTTTTACTAACTGTTTCTCAAGTGTGAACAGGTGTGGGAAAAAAATCATAAAAAAAATCATAAAGTGCTCCTTTGCAAGCATGAAAAAAAGAAGTTTGATAAAACCATTCAGTGACAGCGGAAAATCAGAGCTGTGACCAAATTTACCTAGGCAATTTGAACTGTTAATGAACAGTTAGTTTTAATTATTTTTTAAGTGAGGAGCTTTATTTGCTTTACAAATGCTTAACAAGCAGAGGGTGTGAAATCAGTTGTAGGAGCTTTCAGCTTGTTTTTTATAGCACCAGATCACTCTCCTGTAAAAATGAATACTTTGCCAATGGCGGTGATGGAATAAGGCATCCCAAACCTACATTAATGGTACCAAAAAGTACACTAGGACTTTTCTCGGACTCTATTACCATTTATATGCCTCGGTTAACAAGTAGACTGAGAACAGGTTAAGGAATGCAGAATTATCAGCAGTGATCAAAGCATTGGTTTGACCTGTATCCATTCAAATGACACAAAGACTGTGATTTCTGAGCCAAATATTTAGGGTGATGCCGCAGTTCTACTGGGCTATTTCTCAGCTTAATAAGGAACAAATAATAAAAGTGCTTCACAACTATGAAGAGAACTAGCTTGGCCCAACACCTATGAACATTTAAGAGACATGCAGGTGAGATATTCAGCTATATCAAGAGTTTTTGCAGATATGGAAATGTATTTATATAGGACATTAACCCATGAGACAACCTAAAAGAAGTCCCCATCTTGCCTTTATAGAGCTAACATGAAGTTCTGCAGGATGAAAGCATCAAGGGACCATTCACTATCACTAATATGAGATGGATTGCCTGAATCTGAATGAGTTCTTGGTGTTTTAGGTTCAATTTGGATATAAATGTTAATATAAAACAAGAGTTTCCGAAACATTATATTCCCCCTTCTTTTGTTTTCCCTGCTGACCAACCATAGCTATTCCTCACCCAAAAGGAGGAGAAAGTTCATCTCCAAAAATGAATAACCTGTTCATAAACCACTTAGATGAGGGCAAATACTACAGCTCTGTTGGATTCAGAAAAGACTTGGGATTTGAAATGAACCCCAAATTGCCTAGATTGTTGGTTATTTCAGATTAAGAGTATCTCACTGATCTGGATAAGACTATCCATCCTAAGCTCCACCCGCCCTCTCCCCTTCACATACACACACAATTTCCCCCAAATCCCTGTATCTGTTTTGACACATTTGCAATTTTTGATATTAAATGAATAAATGATCTGCGATTATCTGAAATTTCCAACTAGACTGACTTATTCTTGAAAGAAAACCAAAGAAAATATTTTTCAGACCGTGTTCTCACTACTGAATTTCTTTTGCTCACAGTAAATAGGGGCTGTAGGCAACTCGCTTATCTCACCGACCCAGAAACAATTCAGTAATACTCCCACAGTCTGCCTAAGCCCTTTCTTTGGAGCATCACTTACTAGCTTCATCAACAGGCTGTCGCCAGCCCCAAAATCCAAATATTCACTTAATTCACTGGTTTACTGTGATCCGGAGAGTTCCTATCAGAGCTCCCGAATGTTCCTCATCAGGCTTCTTTTAGGGGGAAACTGAATGACTACACACTTTTCTAAAACAGTCTGTACACTGGAAATAACAGCATCCTCATATCCTCTTGCACTTCGTGAAAGCATCCGTTTAAAACCAAAACAGATGGTCATTTTCTGACCTCCTAGGAGGCACCCTGCAAAGTCACAGGGGCAAACATGCAGAAGCACCTACCTGTTTCCACTGGCAAATGAGATTTCCTTAGCATAGTTCCATATGCACGAGAAAACTGTTATTAATGGCTAATTTCAATGCACTGGCTTCTGGACTTTCGCAGTCTCACCCTGCCCTCCCGTGTCACTGTTTCATTTTCTCATCTGAAACCATCCCCTTTGCAAACGCACAAGTGATTAGGTCAGCTTCACTCTGGCAATTAATCACCCCAACATTAATATTAGGGTGGAATTTCACATGCTTGCCCGTTTTTGAACAATTTAGCTAATTTCATAAAAATCAACTCATAAATCAATCAGCTGAATACGCCTGCCTAAAGGGGGTCAGGTCATTAATGTAGCTTGGGTTGCTTTTGCTATCAAACACAATCCAAGCTCCTCTGAAGACACAGCCACCATGCCCTGAGCTGCTGCAAAGAATCTTTGCCAGGTCCTGGCTCTCAGGCAGGTTCCTCTTTTAAAAAATAGGTTATCAATTCCTTACTAAAAATAAAATGAACGGGAAGTTTTACTTAAAAGTTTTGAGGAACATACATTGTAAAATCTGCAAAGTTCTACAAAATCTCTATCAAGTGCCCTATTAACATTTTTCTTTAATTTTCATCCCCTGAGTACAAAGAAATGAAGAGCAGGAAATAAATGACTGCTGATTCACAATAGCCCTTCCAGTGTAGCTGGAAGGAATCAGATTTCATCTTTTTATCCTTGCCACACCATTGCTCATATCCCTGACTGCATGACGAATTTGGAAACAACTTGTAGTTTTTCATGGAGACCTGTTGTCATTTTTTTTTGCCATTTCCTCTGAAATTTTTTCTTTGGGAAATCAATATTACCCAGAAGGGGGATAAAAAACAGAAACAAATCAAAAACTTCTTTGAGAAAGCCTAAGGATTTTTTCAGTAATTTATCTCGCAGTGCATCAAGGAAACCAGGGAAAATCCTGCTGCTTTCCTGACACCATGATATATCTTTACTGAAAAACAATGGGCTGGATTGAAATACTGACTAATCATGTTGAGGGCTCTCCTTCCACGGGACTTTTCAGCTACATTTACACAACAGGATGCCAGGGAACATGCTGAGCAGAGTGTTACATAACAGGTTAGAAAGCACACCAGCCTATTAAGATATATATTTACGATGCTCTGAATAATCTATTACAGTGCACTATTTGTTTATAATTTGCATCGCTGCTAAAAGGTTCCTCTAGGGAAATGGGTTTTTTTTTGTCTTAAATTAAGTGTAAGCTTTGCCAGATCAGAAAGGAGGGTCATTTGGGGCTTTATGTATTATGTTGAAAAGGCTACTATGATTGCTGGGAGAGAAAAAAAAAAGTCAAGGTTTATATTGAATACATTGAGATGGAAAGCTAGCAACATGAGAAACAGCTGGAAAAAAAGAAGATGAGTAACAGTGTCAGAAGGAGAACATGAAATTTCTGGGTTTTTTTTTTTTTTTTGAGAGAGAGAATTTTCTATCATAAGTGCTATATGAGTGGTTCGCATACATTTCACTGCAGTCCCACATGAGAAATAGATGTTTAAGTGTTAAAAACCAACATATGCTAAATTTTGGCAGCGCATGCTGAGCAAGCATGACTAGCCTTCCCATGTGGCAAACCCCCTTTCAGATAAGGTGAGAAACTCAAGGTGCTGAAAGCTTAAATATTGATTATTACACACTGGCAAGGACAAGTGGGGAGAAGGGTCAGAGCCATCTCCAGAGGCAACATCCAGGCTGGGCTGGAGCTCCAGAGCTCCCTGCTGGGTGAGGACACAGGGCTGAGTCTCGCTGTGCTCCAAAGGAAGAGGCAACATGCAACTCCACCGAGCATTTGGTATTCTGGATCCAACATATTTGAATCTAACATATGGCAAAATGGCCAGACACGGATATCTGACTGCTCATATCCAAAGCTAGACTGAAAATACCAATCGACAGATCCTGTATTTATACTTTGTAATTTAAAAAACTGTGCTGCAGTTATACTAGGATTTCAAAGACCATTTCTTAGATTTTTGAGGAGAAAAGAACAGCATTCTTCAATCACAGAAGTCATTACTAACAATCTTTATAGACTACGTACACGCGACGGCTATATCTGCAAGCACCCTCACGTTAACAGAACCTTCAGCAGCCCAGTTAAAAGATATCCTTACTCCAAAATGGACTTGGACCGTATATTCCATTGACAAGATGACATGAAAAAAGAAAAGGACAATCACATTGCCACCTTTGTAGTATTACTACCTCTCCCCAAAAGATCTCCTTTTGTCCAAGCATAATTTTGCATTCACAAATCCCCTGCACAGGCAGCTTTCAGACAGTGGTCTTACTAAAGATACATGGCAGAAAATGCATACAGAAAACAGGGTAGAGGTGCTGCACATATAAATGCATGCAGAATTTCCATATATAAATGCATTCTGAATTTCCACAGGACAAACAGCTCTTCTGGAAATTTTATAGGCCAGTAGTTCTCAACCAAGCCTTTGACATATCACATCCACAGGCCTTCCAGAAGACCATACCCTGTCCAAAAGCACAATATTAACACAAAGTTCCCGTGGCCATGAAAACTCACCTCATAATTGGCAATGGCTTCTCTGTCCAGAGCTCGGGTCACGGAGACATCTCCGCTGATCTCATTGATCCGAAAAATCCCTTTGGGGTCCTCGTCTACCCCCTTACCAGAGAGCCGAAACTTCGCTCCCTCAGTCCTCTCGCTTCTGATAACCTGCAAGGCACCAAGCAAAATGGGTCACATAAACAAAAATATCAAAATATTATGAAGCCAACGGGTAGTTTTAATTATTTCCCTCATGCTGAGGTATATTCCCCTCCTGCAATATGGAACAATAAGAGGTGCTTTTGATCATTCTGAAAACACTGGGCTATTTCTGTGTTCAATCCTGCAAAATTTGGAGGACCAAGCCGTGTCTAAAGCCAGTTGCTGTCTTATCTTGGCTGTCTTCCATTCCAGAGTTTAAAGTTTCTATTATTGGATGGTTACTGTACCTGCTCCATGTCTAGAATTTGACATTTAATTCTATTTCTTCTATTTTTTTTTCAAGTAAATGGATAAAACATCTAGAAATAAATACTACAAACATTAAAAAAGAAGTTAAAAAAATAAAAAGGCTTTCCAGTGAATGGCATTAAACACATTAAACATACTTATTTCGCAACCACCTTAACAATACTTTTAATATCAGATAGCCCTCATGCATTATTTTCCAACTAGTCAGTCATTTTCATTATTCATTTTAAAACTGTTTTAGAGAGTACTTTTGGGTGTGTTCCTCTCCTTTCCATTCTATACCCTTCTTTCCCAGGGTTTTAAAGCAAGGAAAAAACTCCTCCTAAAAATATGTGGGTATGGTGCTCAGAACTCAGCTTAGTCACACAGTTGGACTTCCTTCTCTTTCCATGCGTGTGCGCGCATGGAAATTCCTCCTTAACATTGCAACTTGTTACCCCATATGGAAAAATAAACAAAGAAAAAATCCCTAAAAATCCAATTTCAAGGCTGCTTCATGTTAATAGCAGTAGCATCTGTAAACTTCCAGCGCTGCACAATGTTTGCTACAAGCTACATGCCTTGCAAATTTGTTTTTGTACCCCTGAATCTTGCAGGATTATAAATTAATCTTGCCCTTTAAGGCTGACAACCTTGCCAAGCCATTCCTCCTCGCTGCCGTTTCATGTTCTTTTGTTCCTATCAATTTTATATTGTTAATGTTTCCACAGAAACATTAAGTCAAATATTTATATGCTGGTTTGAATCACAGCTCAGGAAGAGGAAAGAAAAAAAGAGATATTAGAAAACTAGACCCGCTCCCATTCTGCCATAATAAATATGCAGAGAGTTTAATAATGTCCCCAAGGAAATATGTTTGCTGCCCTATTGCTGTGGGTTCAGCAAAGCTGGTTTGCAGATTACTGGGCAGTGAGATTTTGACTAAACTCCATAATCATTATTCCTTTATTTTAATTGAGAAAAAATTGCCACAAGATACGAAATAAGAAATCAGCATTTTCAGAGATAAAGTTTCAATTCCCAAACCCTTGGGGGGGAAGGAAGAAATTTCAAAGAAAGAAACTATTTCACCTTTTTTTTTTCCCCTCTTTCCTCCTAATCAGAAAAACTACTGGATGTGGTTTTCTCCTCACATATTTTTGAGGATGTCACAACAAAACAAAGAAGTAGACAACACTGGAGGAGGAAAGGGGCAAACTAACTTTGCAACTTGGGGTTTTCTGATGAAGCCAAAACTTCCAGGCTGCTCCCAGAAAGCTCCCTGACAGTCTATTCAGTTTGGGACCAGTCTCTGATATTTTTATGTCAAGCCTAAAAGTAGGGTTTTTTTCTTAACATAAGGCTTTGTTTTCCATTTTACAATGCCATTACTATTGCTCACTTTTTCAGGAAAAAGATGAATTGCTCTTCCTCTGCCCTCATTTCTGAGATTTATTACAAGGTAAGTGCACCTCCCCGTCCAATACAAGAGCGGGGGTCTGAAAGGCAGCTATCTCAGCTACAGGCCTGCACAAAAACTATCGAGACGTCTACAGAAGAGCCCTTTCCACCATGGCAGACAAATATTTTCCAAACACTTACAGCAAATTAAGACTCAGTAAAGGCCAAAAGCCCTAATTATATAAATTTAAAAAAAAAATGGCAAATTAAGACTCAGTAAAGGCCAAAAGCCCTAATTATATAAATTTAAAAAAAAAATGGCAAATTAAGACTCAGTAAAGGCCAAAAGCCCTAATTATATAAATTAAAAAAAAAAAAAAAAACATAGAAATCATGGGCTGTATCAATATTCTGTAGTTCATTAGACAAATCTCAGATCATTATAAACAGGTCATACTTCACACTAGATAGAAAAGCGGGGGCACAGAATATAGGACTAACGGATCTAATGAGAAAATGAGATTTAATGAGGAAGCAGTGTTTTTCTGAATGACCAGATGGTCCATGTTACATACTTAAAGCTTTGAGAAGAGACTATATTCGCCATGCAAGGGAGGACATGCCAACCCTTCCCTCCTATCTACTTCTGCAGAAAGAAGGAAATTCATGACCTATCTCCATTTAAATGTGGGGCAAGGAGAGGGGGAAAAATCTCTCCTCTGTCCTGCTGCCTTTCAAGAAGCTCCTCGCTGAGCCATGCAGGAAACTCCTAGGAGCAAGGCACGGAGAAGAGCAAACGGGAGATGAGCAGCGTTGCAGCATCTGGTGATGCACAGAGACTGATGCTCCATGAAGCCATAAGAAGCTCAGATTAGCGGTGCTACCACCATCATCTGCTCAAGAGCAACAGCAGCGGCACAAGAAGCAATTTTCAAAAAAAAATCCATTTTTTTTCTTAATGCTTAATTAGCCACAAGAGGGAGCTACACACCCCCCAGGAACGTCAGAAATTGAGCAAGAACATTAACATCTCCTAATTAAGATGCTTATATAATGGCTGCGTAGTTCAAAGAAAGTGCATTTCCCAGTTCGCACTAAACTAAGTACAATGAAAATTTTAATAAAAATCAGGCTTAATTTGCCATATGGTTTGGTGCTTCAGCAAGAACAAGAACGAACGAACAGGAGGATTGTCTGACATCTCCTCTGGCAAGACTATTAGGCTGATAACTAAAGCAGTTCTGTTCATATGAAAAATGCGGAGGTTACAGTGTATTACACACTGATGATTTACAGGCTGGAACAAAAAGACAGATTTCTTCTAAAATGTTTAATTTCTGATGTCCTATTTACATTCCTAAAGCAGCAACTTGTCTGCTACAGTCGTATTTCACAAATCAGAACCTGCATGGCAATATATCTTCAAGCATTTTGAATTCTCACTACATCTGTGCTGCAGTCCAGACACACACATGCCTAAGCATCCAGGGGCTCCACACTCTTCGGATGTGAATGTGCCCATCATAGGCTTGTGGTGACCTTGGGGAAATCTCAGAAATGATCCTCCAAGGATAACTTCTGCCCCTGAGGACAGGCTCAACCATCTACGTACTAAGAATACGGCTAGGACAGGCATACCTCACGTGGCCTCACAGACTCCATGTATTATATTTTCTCCTTGCAGCGGCATAATGATTTAGAAGAGTCTTGATATTGCAAGGGCAGGTAGGATAGAAGGAATGGAGATGCACACTGAGCATCCCACAATAGCATATACTTGTGAAGGCTATTCCCTCACCCAGGACTCACAGGAACAAACAGACATAGCCTTAGACATAATTCACTTACTTCAAGAGGAGCTAACAACACTTTCCCAAGTCAAAGGTGCACTGGAAGATAAATGCATCAAAAACTGAGAAATGAGTCATACTGAGCTTGTCAGAAACACGCAGATAGCACCCTAGACAAACCATTTCCTTTTCTTTATATTTTCCTTTTTTTTTTCCATCCAAAAATAATAAAAAAAGAATGATTCTGCTGTACTGAAAGACACTTTGTAGGAACCAGAATGCTGATTAGCTGACAGGATCTGCCTTCTGCCGAGCCGCGGCCAAGACGTATTTACCAAGCGCTATTCTTCAGCTGACATAGTGCATCCCTTCCAGCTAAACTCATTCCAGCACTGGGATCCCTCTGTTGTTACGGGTTTATCAGAACGTAAATCAGAGCCTTCTCAAGAGAAGAAGAGAAATAGATAGCAGTACAAAAAAGGATGCTACCCCAGAGAGGGACCTTACAGTGATGCAAGTGCAGCAAATCTGCCCGTAACAGCACCAGTCCTGGCCGGCCTCGCTGGCAAAGACAAGCGTGCCTAGGTCACTTCCATCAGTCTGACACTGTCTGAACCAGAGATGCATCATGTTAGTGTCAATTTTTAATTAGAAAAATAATCCCACATTAGGCAGGTTAGGTATGCTCGGTCCCAACCCCCTGAAGAGTTTGTGGGGTGCTTTCAGGCCAGGAATTCCAGGTATGCTCTATCCCTGGGAAACCTTTAGGTGGGAAATTTTGATTTTTTTTTCTAACTCTAGTTAGAGAGCTGTTTCCATCATTTGCTTTTACATAATGGATTATAATTACTGAGTTTCATTACACCTATTTATCAACCACTAGGCAGCTAGTTTATCATACAAACCAAATTCTGCTCTTTGGCAATGGGAGACTGGTTTAAATTGACCTTAGACTTCCATCTGTAGTAGGTTTTCCTGAAGAGTTCATTCAGCATACAGCTGATGCTTGAGAACGTCCAAGTGATTTATTCAAACAGCTAATTGTAATAGATATTATAAAGTGAAGACCCTCCATAAAACCATTCCCTTTTTGCATGATAACTAGGTATAAAGCATACATATTTATTTGAAAATATATATTCTAAGTAACAGTTAATTATGCAAGAAGCTATATTCTAACTAGCCTTCTCGATTGTCTAACTTGAAAAAGAATTGACTGCCATGCACCTGGGTAAGTGCCCGTAAGTCCCCCAAATACAAGTCAGGGGAGTATGTGTATGAACAGTATTTGCAAAACTCAAGGAAACAACAGAATAAACCTTCAGCCATCCAAGATGCTTATGCAATAGAATAAAGCAGGCAATCTCACAACCCTAAATTTCAACATGGTTCCAGATCAGTTTTCAATCTCCAGCCTCCTTATGAGGCAGGATTTCCAAAGCTTTATAAATCTCCTAGAGTATATGCTTTAACTCCAAAGCTTAAACCAGCCAGTCAATCACTCAAATTCTAATATATGAGTTTGCA